AACGCATATGGCTTATCGAAAACTCGAAAGTCGAAACTCGAAAATCGCATATCGCGGTATGTAAATAGCGCATACCGCATAGTGCATAGTGCATAGTGCATAGCGCATAGCGCATAGCGCATAACGCATATCGCTTATCGAAAACTCGAAAGTCGAAACTCGAAAATCGCATATCGCGTTATGCAAATAGCGCATAGCGCATAGCGCATAAAGCATATCGCTTATCGAAAACTCGAAAATCCCATAGCGCATAACGCATATCGCGCATATAAAAAAAGAAAAAAGGAAATCTTTCCTCTTTATTATATTAGCAACGAGCTGTTGCCCGCGACTTCGTCGCATAGTATTATAAAACATACAAACTATATATATAACAAAAAGTTACATATCCCTCGGGAACCGGAACTAAAAACTAAAAACAAAATTAATGAATCCCACGGGAACCGTAACTATTCCCGGAATTAAAAGTAGCCTATGTGTTCTTCCAGACTATGCTCTAAACCTGTGCCAAATTTCATAGAGATCCGTTCAGCTGTTTAGGCTACAAACGCTAACAAACATCCATCCATCCATCTATCCATCCATCCATCCATCCATCTAAACTATCACATTTATAATATTAGTAAGATAATAAGTAAGATAAATATGTCTATTAGAATAGGCAATATGCATATGACGCCAAATTGTACCAAACTTTTTCTAAGTATACTTTTTACTATAAAAAGATTTTTTTAAATATAATGTGATTTAGTGGCAGAACTTAATCATTAAATAGTGTCTTTTTTCAAATTCCCTCGCTAACTTCTAAAACGCACACTATTGATCGAAGCAAGTGGCTTATCTAATATGGCGTCGCTGTGTTGACAATACACAGTTCATTTACGTTAGTTTATATAGAAATACACTCTTGAAGTATTTTACTGTTAACACGATATCAAAACCAACTTTAAAATAAAAAATTAATGAATAGAATTATTAATTACCACGTATTTGTACCAGGAATAATAAAAATGAATCGATTTTTGACTTTTTGACCTTGAGAAACTTTGTTGTGTTTTACGTCAAAGTGACATCTGAGCGTATGTTATGAATGGAATAGACGATTGACGTCAATCGTCTCGTCGTCGTCGTCTCATGACAGCTCCGGACGCGTTTTAGTCGCTCGAAAATGGTCGTAATTTTATTTTATTATTTGTAGCTCAATGGTTGAATTTTTTCGCGTCAATTTTTTTGTGGTTATTTATAACAAGTAGGATCATTTAAAAAAAGAAAAAAAATACATGCATATTCCCTATTCAATAGAAAAGAGAAATTAGATTTATATAGTGCCACAAGACTCTTTCTTGTGGCACCTTTTTGACATTGACAGGATGGCGCCTCTGAGCATTTAGGTCAGCAAGGTAATATGTCCGCATTAAAAGAAAATTCTTTCCTTTTGAAAACGAAAACGCAAATTGTAAAGGAAATAATAGGAAATGGCCCAGACTTCGTTTGTCGGTTATATGGCTCTATAGTTAAAGAATCTTTGTAGCAAACTTTTAGCAATGCACTCTCTTGAGACAGTTAGGGAAGGAATAGTCTTAATAAAATAGAAATAGTCTTACTTAACGCTCATCTACAGAATAATAGAAGTCTTAATGATTGTTGTTTATAATCAACGCACAGTACAACCTTGTATGTGGTAAACGCACAGTACAACCTTGTATGTGGTATGGTTTAAACTGTGCGTTTTAAAATGATCAGATAATTAGTTTTTGATACATTACTGAGTACACACAGTAATTTTCTTATTACGTTAGTAAATATGAAATTTATGTCAAGAAGGTCATACTTCCAGGTGCACAAAACACGTTACATTAAAGGGTCCGTCACTGCTACTTTATAATAAAAAAAGGGAAGTAAAACTTTCAGCAAAATATTTTTAAGTCAATTAGTATATAACAATTTTTTTTAATTACAAATCTTAAAATATGCGTCGCCTTGAGAGTTGGGGAATTTCTTGATTAACAAATGGTAACAAATTCTAATTACAAAAGACACAAGATGATTCACATTATCAAATGTACTGGACCCCCTTACTTCTTCTCAGCGATAAAAATATCTCTCATTTAAAAAAAACTCTGTTGCACTACTTTTAAACAGTTTCATCACTTTATTTAATGGAATGACATTAAAAAAAGCCACACAAAACAAAATGCGTAAAGTATGACGCGAAGTGAACTGACAAGTTATGTCGCTATTACCCTGACATTAAATGTCACTTCTCATTTCATAAAATTTGCCGGCTGCCAAAAGAATCTTGTAGGACAATACGCTACTTGTAAAGCACTCCCGTCTGTTAAAACGTAGTGATAGTGATTATGTTCTCTACTTTGACTTGGAATTAATAAAATAAATAGAAAATTAAATGCAAATCTAAAATATTGTTTAAAAAAAAAAAAATTAGTACACCTTAAAATGTAATCATAGTAGAGTATCAGTGCCGAGTGAATCTTTTTTCTCAATATTTAATTATTTATTCTAGTTATTAAGAAACAAAAAGTTAAGTGTTAAAGTTGTATATCATGTAAATGTGAGACAATCAAAGATACCGCGCTACAATGATGAGTGACAGTGATCTCCGGGCGCAAGAAATCAATGCAACAAACCTAAAAGAGGTTAATTTTTCAAGTCTTTTTCTTTTCTTCGAAATAAGTGAGAACCCCATAAAAATATTCAATACAATGTATCTAATCTTTTTGTTATCGTTTAAAGTATATTTTATGAAAATACAACAAGTCAACAACATGTAAGTATTCTGCATATCTATCTGCATAGGTATCTAACCCAAAGGGTATCTCATCCTATCTCTGAGCTCCAGCTAAAGTTATTGGTATTATGTTTTGTAGATAATTAATATAGTTTAACAGTAGTAGGGTATGCTTTAATATCTTGGTAAGAATGGGCCAGCTCGGCCGGTATATTACACAGCCTCACAGAAGATAGCAGTGAAGTTCAGGAATTCTGAGTTTCGTCTGATGAGTCTGCATCCTGGAGGCCTAAGTTTAGTCCCTTTCCCTTCCCACCCATTTCTAGAAAGGAAAGGGTGGGAAGAAAAAGTGGATTTGACAACGGAAGAGATGCATAGGAAGGAAATTATCCTCTTAATGTGCATCTCCTCCAGCATTGATCAAGGGTAGCCAATGCGTCTGCAATTGCTAATGTTGTCTCTTGACTCGGGGTCTATTTCCCTTGCATTTTAAAACCTGTTTCTGAAGATGAATATATTCTTGAAAATTATACTTGGAACATTTGTGTCCATATCAACGCCAATATCCAAATATACAGATTTAGTGTATGGGGTCTCTTTTGCGGTCCACGGAAATCCTACTTTAGCAGTATTAATAAATAAATGTAGTGTATTAAATAAATAAATAAAAATATAAATGTGTACACTACAATAGTAACATTATACAGGGTGTCCTGTAAAGAATGGGTAATCCCGAAACCCCTATAGTACATCCATCAAGAGCGCAGGAAAAATTTAATAAAAAATGATTTCAAAGGGGGTTTTCAAATTATGAAACTATTTTAAAAAATTGAAGTAGAATTTTTTTGAGTTTGAAAGCCTTCCATTAATAAAAAAAAAGTTGTATGAAGACTGGTGTGTCTGAGTATTTTAATAATGGCATTGCAACTAATATGGTTTAAAAAACGGAAAATGTAACATGACTGCACCTGAATTAAATAATAAACTAAAAATAAAGACTCAGGCAAGGTTTATTTCAAACCAGAAATATTGAAATACTAGCTCCGTGCGGCTTCATCCGCATGAAACTATGAAAATTTTATTTTACTGTTTACATTTGTCAAATTATCAATAGCAAATGTCAAAATGACATGACAACCTTAGCAATCCCTCTTTTTTGATGTTGGCAGTAACTTATGGTCTCTTTCCCATATTAGGGTTTCTATCCAAAATATTTACCCCCTAAATTTAATGGCGTGAAAATATATAGCCTAAAGCGTGACCTAAATGTAGTGATTTTTATTAAAGAAAGAATTATTCAAAAATATGCTGTTACTGCTGACATCTTAGGCAACAAAGAAGTGTGTGTTTACACTTTATTATAATAGTATAGTAAAGTTTGGTATTGCTTTGTATCTTAAAGGCAACCATCCAGTTGGCCATAAAGTAATTTTTTTTTTATAATTGATTATTAAATTGTGTGCTTATAGCTTTGAAAAATAGTTGATATCTTTCAATAAACAAACTTTTAAGATGAAATGCCTAGCGTTGCTTAATTATTTTACTGAAATTTAAGAATTAAAATAATAAAAATAACGACCAGTTGATGTACTCGTAGGTTACGGGAGACTGCTATATCATATATTTGTGCATGTGCAGGTCGAAGCACGCGCCCTGCACGACCGGCTCGTGGCGTACGCGCACTTCGTGGCCGGAGATCCGGTAAGCGATCCCGCAAACGCCTTTTACTGACAAACCCGGTTTTGACTGCCTAAGAAATATGTTTTTTACTTTTATTAGTTTCGTTTCGGTTTTTATACCCCTATGGTCACTCAGGAGAGCCGGTCGGGCGTGTGCTGCGAGCACTCGTACGCACGCGTGCGCGAGACGGGGGGTGCGTGTG